ACATTTTGAATGCAGCTGTATTATAAGGCTAATATGTTGAGTGTGTGCGTTATAAATAATATCGGTTTGAGCCACTATTCTTGAAAAGCAGCGCAATGTTTGTCCACTGAGTAGTATTACAATATATTTTATAATTGTCCCATTCATGTTGAATTTTACACACACAATGTGTTCCCTTTCAGTCCATGCTAACAATAATAAGTAGGTATATAGATCACCTTTATCCGAATTCTCATTCAGTATCTGTTACATTGCTATTCAATCCTGACAACCAAACAAAGTATGATTGTCATATACAAGGTTCATTGCCTAATCTATGTGTAAATTGGTACCCTTATCCCGCATTTCATGAATACCAATTTCAATGCAATTTCCATTTGCTGATGGTGAAGTCAATGTAAAAATAGCAGGATTTAAACTTATCCGTAATTCTTCCATACATTATGAACGAAATTGAAAAGTTTATTTTTAACAAGTACCTTTATTGTTACAGAGTCGATAATCGTTACCGCGTAGAATATTGTATGTATAGAATATTTTATTTCTGAGACTAATAGAAATTGTGGTCATTTCACCATAAAATAAATCGAATTTTTGGCATTTCGTCGCCTTATTTTCTCAAACTCGTATCTTGAAGTACAAAGTTACTGAAATGCAAAAAATGGATTGTATATACAAATTTTGCAGGCTGATTTCACATCATATTTCCTTCACATTCACATACTGGCGTTTGCCTATTCTTAAAGTAATGCATCCAAATTAACACCCTTGCTAAGAAATTTAAAATAAATAGAAAGTTTTGCCATCTCCTGAATAATCACCCTTATAAGATACGAGTTTGAGAAAGTAAGGGATCGAATTGAAGACGTATTTATTTTCACGTTGTTATTATTGTTTTGACATATACTTACATTTTACAATTGTAATCATTAAAGTGGACATGTAATTATCGCGTTTAAATTACGACTGACTTATTAAATCTATGTGTGCACGCTCATGTAATATTATAAAAAAAATCTTACAACAAGTTTAGTCTGTTAAAATGAATGTGAGTTAATTTACAAAATACCTTAGAATAATAACGCATAGAACGATAGTTTCATATCAAACAAACTGTCACAAGTGAGGCAAAAATCAAATTCATGTAGGCTAGTTTTAGTAGTAGGTTAATTTTCGGTTTTAGTGAATATTTATATAAAAATACAAGTTGAAACGCGTTACTTCCTTGTGGAATGTGATGTTAGTATCTATTTTATGTTTGTCTGACGTATTTTTACACTCATTTACCGCACATTTCGTCATTTTTAGCTAAAATTTTGGAGCTGTTCGCGGTGCAAGTTGACCTTGAGCACAGAAGGCCCGCCCGCTCGTGTAGGCCCATTGGGAGCGCTTCAATTTGCCTCACTTAGCGTGTGCGGACTAGGTTTCTATGCGTTATTATTCTAAGACAACATACCTTCAATATTTGTGTGTCCAATATTTGACCGGACACAGTGGAACTATACCTACTTATTTTATAATAATAACCTTTGTTTTCGCAAATAAACTAATTATGAAAAATTGTTAAATTTACGCAGTGGCTATCAACATAGTATAAGTTTGTCTGAAAGTACAATGACAATATAGCCATAAAACTAAAAATAGAATAGCAAAATCACCCGAGACTCAGCAAGGTTGACTGTCTATTTGAACAACCTAACACCATAACGACGCAAACCATTTTCGTCCGAACAATGCAAATGCCATTGGCGCGCATAAAGTAATGACGTAGGAATTGCGAATGGAATGAGGTGTTTTCACTGGATGAAAGTGGCCCTTAGTTTCGTCTAATCCATAACAATCTATTATATAAGGTGATAATAATATGTAAGTACGTACACATTATATAGTTATTTTTAGTTATTGCATTGCGTATTTGGAAATTTCAAAAGTCGTGTTAGGCTAATGGTTTGACCGTCTTTCAAGGAGCTTTGAGTTTTTCGTAATTTATATAAAAATTTAATTTGAAATTTATCACGAGCTTTCCGGTGAAGGGAAACATCCTGATGAAACTTTTTTTTTTGACGGGGGGAATATTTATGGATACCCCTGAGCCCAGGGAGGCGCAGGGGTTATGTGGGGACTCTCCCTCCAGACTGGAGGGCCAACACCACTAAAACCCCCCGGGTTTCCCTTTCGCCGGTTGAGTCGGCACCGTGGGATCGGTGAACATTCACCACAACGCCGTCCGGCCGCCCTAGCTTGCGCCAGGGCTTCCGCGCCAACGGAGGGGCGAGTCGCTTGTCCTCCGACCCGCCCCCCAGACGAGTGAGGCCGTGCAATGCAGGCTCCGGAGTCCCTGTCCAGAGCCCACTGGCCTCACTAGGGATCAGGCGAGCAGGGAACTGCCTTCGCCTTCTCCCCGTACGTCTGCGCCGAAGCAGGTATCCTGATAAAATCTGCACGAAGGTTCATAACCCTCGAAAAACTAGTGAAGTTCCCAACCTGCGTTGGTTTAGCCTAGCGGACTATGGCCTAACCTTCGCCTGAGGGGAAACCCGTGCCCAGCAGTGAGACGCATAAGTGGATTGATGATAATGATTATCGTGAGTTTAGCGAGTTAATCTACTGGTTTTCTTGTATACTGTAGTAATACGATTAGATTGTCTAACAGCGAAAGTAACGTTCTTTAATTAAATATGGGCAATAACACTGTCCTTTACTTTATCAAAGACAATTCTGAGACGATATATTACTTAAAGAAGCACTAAAGTTAATAGACGTATGTGCAAACATTGTTACTAATATTTTTTTTATTGGTGAAGTCGGTGTCCTAACCGGTACAAATCGCGGAATGTTCTAAATGTCTTGGTCAATTGACATTGTTAAAATTTATGCAGCAGTGTACAGTTATTCAGATTATATTTAGGTACTAACTATATGAATTTAATGTACAACTTTTCAAAACGTAATTAGATAATTGTAGCTACAATTTTTTAATACAATTTTTACGCTATGACAAAAATTCATTTGTAATATGATGCGTAGTAAGTATTACGGAATGTGTCTGAGAGAGTGTCGAAACATCTGTGAAAATATTATTGTAGGTAAGACGGTAACTCGAATGCTAACTCAAGTTGAATATAGTAGTTTTTGTACATTTTAAGACTTTCGAGGTTATTTAGTAAACGATTTATTATTAAGACAGCCTTCTCGATATTTCAGAACGATTTCACGCCAATGTGATGAGAATCTTGTAACTTTTTTCTTTTTAGCAGCACTAGGGCTCCTTTTGAAAGAGTTCGCCCAGGGAATTTCTGCCGCCAAGCATTAATGTCAGCATTACTGCGTTTCGGTTTTGAAGGATAAAATTACAGGCACACGAGACTTGTCAACATATTATGTCTCGGAGTATCGGGCGCAGTGGCAGTGCACCTAAGACCTTTCTGACTTAAAGTTCTGAGTGACACTGCAAGTGCTATGTCTCTTAACACCAGGCGCGCGATTCGTTCGTACTGTCACTTGGTATCATAAAAAAAAACAAATAAACCAGTTATTCAACTCGAAGTTAAACAGTTTTTAATACAGTGTTTAATCATTATTTTAATGTTAATGTTATGTTAAAAAGTGTGATATGCTGGAGATCTTCTACTGTGTCAGACCCTGTGTTTTGGTCATCCATATAAAAGTCGTTCTCTATGACGTTGCTTAAAACGGTATCCTTACATTCCCGGGCTAATTGTAAAAGGCAGCGTGTACTCAAGAAAGGAGGTATTCAATTGCAGAACTTGTATCAATCCTCTTGACTCATCTTGCCATAGTATTAATTGTAGGTGACGCTGCTTTGGATCGATCTCTATTTGCCGATACATTTTCTCGATGTCAGCAATGAGAATGTACCTATGCTGGCGAAAACGGAGAAGAATAGAAATAAGATCACTTTGCACCAATGGACCAACCATCTGTATGTCATTGAGAGATTTACCATTTTAGATTTTTTTATTGTTATGTTAATCACACTTTTTAGGACATTCCGCTGGCAGTTACTTTTGCTAAAGAAAATAAAATGTAATTAATATGGAATCTGTTGAGCTCAATGCCCCATACCCCTTCTATTAAAATGTGTACTTCAACCTTTAAAGCGTTTTATTTACTTGAATGCCACAGAAATATTTGTCATCGTTGTAATTAAGAGTATTAAATAGGACCACTGTATCGACAAAAAAAAACTTTCATTATATTTTTAACCGATTCCAAAAAAAGGAGGAGGGTCTCAATTCGATTGTTTTTTTTGTGTGTATGTTACTCGATAACTCCGGCACCGATTTTGATTTCTTTTTACGGATAAATGACTTTTGCGGTGGGTTTTTTTAGTACTCTGTACTGAGATTATATTTATTTATTTGAATCAGGAAACTTATAGCTCATATAATATTATAACTTAAAGATTATCATACATATGATATAATATAAAAACTGAATAACTAATCTACACGAATTGCACTTGTCGGCGACGTATGGCGCCTTTCTTAGTAGAGAAGGACCATAATTTTCGTTATCACTTACCTATTTTTTTTATAAGCCTTGTCAGTCCAGGGCAAAGTTTTGTTCATTTAATATTTATAGGAATAAACAAAATATAATTTATATTATATATATATATTTTTGGAGCAAACATATAACAATAAATAAACTGCACTAATAAAAATAGTATTGTAACATTGCACATAAAACTGCGTTCTAGATCCTACCTGTACAGTAAACATATGTATACGCAAAATATGATTGTGAAAGCCATACTTAATTCTTTCAAATAGGGTGGATCTATATTGGCGGCCATAATATAGTAACGTGTGAAATTCAGCTGAGGTATGCGCTGCCCTGTAAATCAGTCTTTTGTCGGATCTCATAGCGATTTGTCGTGTTTTCCTCTTCGTATTAAATTGCATTGAAAAATACTCCGATGGGAAATTGTTTGACTTGTGGATTATAGCAATTATATATAAGTGGATAAGACATGTTTTGTAGTGAAATGAGATTTGTGTTAGTGACAAAATAACATTATTGAAAGTTTTCAAGTTGTTGCTGAAGTTTTGTGGAGTAATAATGTAAGTTTTTGGTTCAGAGTTACTCAACACATTTGTTTATTTGTGTTAAGGTACATAAAAAATAATAATGGCAGGATACTATTTAAAAACTAATTATTAATTTATTGTGCACAACAAAATTTCGCTCTATGCATAATTTATAAAAAATGTCTTCGATATTCGGCTTAAGTAACAATTTTCTTTATCTGATATTTCGTGAAAAAAAAAATGTTTTCTTTACTTTTTTAAATAAATCCACAAACAGTTTACATTAGGCTCTGAACAAATGAATTTCCAGGGTATTTCTTGATTTACGACTATCATCAAATTAAAACACTTTTGGAAAATATTTTTTTTCAACATAATTGTATTAAAAACACGTTTCCTTTAATTGTATTCATAAATAACTTACTAACCTAGCCATTACTCTCAAATATTTTTCTAAAAAATAATAACAGGATTCATAACATAACTTTGTAGTAGCAGAAGACCTCTTTGTGAAAGAGTTTGTCCTGGGAAGTACTGCCTATTTCTGTCACCAAGCGGTAATGTGGGTTCCGGTTAAGAAGGCTGCAAATATAGACAAATGGGACTTGTTTACTTATATCTCAGGGTGACAGACGTAGTGGCAGTCCTTAAGATCTTTGCCATTTAAAGCTCTGAGTAGCATTGCAACTCCTATGGACAGTTGTGTCGCTTAACACCAGCACACGATTTGTGCGTCCCGTCACTTATAACCTTAAAAAAAATGCAATGTAATTATAAAATATTTTTCACAAATAATATTTGTCGTTGGCAAAAGGTTAATGGGCAAAATATGTAATTCAATACATGGAGATTATTTAATTATAATTTCTCTACGTGATCACTTATCACTGCCTCCGTGGCAGAACGGTTACCATGCCGGACTGCCACGCAGAAGACCCAGGTTCGATTCCCGGGCCGGGATAAATATTTGTATGGCCTACATTTATTTGTCTTGTGAGTTTTGGTGTAATTTGTGGTTGTCTATGTGTGTTCATGGCACTCGCAATACAGGGTTTCCCTAACGCGATAATAAACATCACTTTTTTTACGATTTTACGACAATTGCTTTTCGACTTGTGCCATGATAGATATGACTGTATACCTCTTCACAACAAGCTGCGTTACAGTGTCCCTGTTAGAACGCACTATCGCAGCGTTTGCAAAGCATATTCACCATATTTGCTACCGTTGTATGTCGTACAAACGTTGGAATACGTTCGCCCGTGTATCGATTAATAAAAAATTACCATACACACTTTAACTCTGTCAGGCATATTGTCTACCCGCAAAACTATAATTTTGAACTTGCTTAGAGATGTATGAAGTCATTTACTACTCAATTATTATTTTTCTTTTCCTTTTATGTAACTCGTTATGTGTATAACCCGTGTGTACTTATGTAGTAATTATTATTATTGTTTTTGTATCATGGTTTAATTTGTTTAGTATTGTACATAATAACTATTTTTTAATTATTTACCCTTCAGTAGTTTGTTAGAAATGCATCACCAAATCTCAGTTTTTTGTAGTAACTAGTGGTTAACGGTGTTGGTGACACAATCACTACATATTTATTGTAAAAAAATACATTTAAGTTTTAATTGAGTCTACTGTTTGTTGACCCAAATAAATTTAAAAAAAACACTGCAGGCGACTGAATAAAAAAACATTTTTATCCGGCATTTCCACACTCTATCAAATCATTCAACAAACTCAATTCAATGCCTATAAAGTACGTGGGGACGTCATTTTTTACCCATGCTTTAATCTCATCTTATCGATTTTCTCGTAAGGCTTTACAAAGTTAGCTTTTCTTTTAACACTATTTTCATACACTTCTTGTTAACCACAATTGTGTCACCAACGTTCCATAAAGCAACTGTTTAGTTCAGGAATTTCGTTTTATATTCATTATTTATTTTATCATAATTATTAAAATATTTTCCAATAGGTTCAAGAAGTTATACTTTCTTGAGCTATGAGTGTGTGCGTTATTTATTCATTAATTAGAAAGTGATACGTTACCGCCTTAGACTATGCATCCTCTAAGGTTACCGCGTTTAAACTCCTTCCAGCTTATTATTAACCGACTTCAAAAAAACGAAAGTTCCCAATTCGACTATATGTTTTTTTGTATTTATGTTACGCGATAACTCCGGTATTTGTGAACCGATTTTCATCATGATTCTTTTTTGTTGGAAAGAGGGTACCTCCATAGTGGTCCCATTTAATTTTGAAGAAAATCGTCCACCTCTAAGGGTGGCTGTTGACACATGAAGATTATAAATAGCGCCTAAATTTTATCATACAAAGCAATTATTTTAATGGTTGATTTTGCTATTCTCCAATTCAAGGCGTTTTTCTCTCTGAATATACTTTGAGTAGTGAGAACCGATTTTTATTATCTCCTATGTCAGGTCCCGTATAGTGGCAAACTAGGGGATGAATTCGGGTTTGCGCACTTTCCGGTAACCGATTTCAATAAAACGTGGTAATTATATGCAATTCTACGTGATTTTGACATCGGTTTTTCAAGATTCTTTACAATAAAAAAAAAATAAAAATTGTTTATTTCAGACAACTTAAAGTCCATACAAATTAGTATGTTAGTAACATGACACACTTTATAACTATATTAGTATTGTGTTAGTAGATTAAATAATTATTAAATTTCGTATTATACCTATTACTTAATTACATATTACCTAGGTTTCCAATCGATTCACCGACGCACACTTTTCTAAGTGTGCGTCGTCCTATCCGGTATCATCTTTAGGATCTCGTTGTTGCTCCCCCTAACCCTTCGCACTACTGATGTGGACATTTTGCGCATAATGGCATAAAAATCGTCCACAGCAGTCACCAGCAAACATGCCAAATGCACTGCAGAAGCGGTGAAGCCTCAACAAGGCCCTAAAGATGTTATTGTATTGGACTCTCAAGTCACCATATGATCTTAGCGTAAAGTTGGACCATAGAGCACACTTGTAGAAACTCTGGCAGTAAGCTTTGAAGAGCGTAAGTTTCACTCCAGTCGTACACCGCATGAATCTATGAGCCAAAATATTGCCTCGAACTGACAGCGCCCTGCGCTCCCTCTCAATGTCCTTGTTATCCTATAAGTCCTCCGTCATAGTATGACCAAGGTACCTAAACTGTGCAACACGCCTCAAAGGTACACCGTTTAAGAAGATTGGAGGCACATAGGCTGGTTCTTTAATCTTACCCTTGAACAGTAAGAACTCACTCTTTTTCTCGTTGCACCTCAAGCCATGTTGAACAGCATAGGCCTCACATTTACAAAAAAAGTTTTCTTAAGCCTTTGACTGAGGGGCTGAGCGACACCATGTCGTCCGCATAGTTGATGTTATTAACACTTATGTTGTTGCGACATCCGACATGCATGCTGCTCAGCTCCCCAATCAGATTATTGACATATAAATTAAAAAGTCTAGGCGAAGTTAATCCCCCCTGTCTAACACCACAGCTCAAAACATATTCACCTGATTTGGCATTTGCCCACTTGACTACATTCTGTTGATTACTATACCAATGTAAGAAAATACTAACTATTTCTGGCGATATGCCCACTTCCCTCAATTTTGTCCAAAGCACATCATATGACACCAGGACAAATGCTTTTGACAAGTCTAGGAAGCAGGCGTATATCGGGGTCTCTCTCTTGATATATATAGTACTCAAGAGCATAATTATTTCAATAATTAAATGGCACTCTCGGTTGACAAACCTCCTCTAAAATCAAATTGGGAATCATGCAACTGTACACGACTCCACAGGTGGACATCCAATATTCTATCTAGAACTTTAGCTGTTGCTGGTGAGATTGCCTTGTAGTTGGATTTGTCAGCCAAGTCACCCGTGCGGTTCTTAACAAGAGGGACAACTACAGTCTTCATTAGATTTGGTGGCAAGTAGGAGTGTCTTCCACAAAAAGTACATAACAAGGATAAAACTATCAATGTGTGGTCCTGCATGTTTCAGGTGCTCGATACTGAGCCCATCATGTCCCGGAGACTTGCCTCTTTTCATATTCTTTATCGCCAGTCTCACATCTTTGGCAGTGATTTTAATAGGCGGCTCCACATGACAGAGCTCAGCATCTGACACCTCTGATCTAGGTAACAAGAACTCAACCTTAAAATAGTCTTTAAGGATATTTGCAATCTTCCTCGGCTCGCTTGTACCTTCTCTAGTGTAGAAGGTAACTCTAGCTTACCTTGAAGTCTTTTAGTACCACTCCAAAATTGATCTAAACGCCCAGTCGCATGCTGTGAAGCAAGTATGTCCGCTTTAAGTTGGTCCTGTCTCTGTTGACAGTACTTAACGTAGTCTTGTCTTAAAAATTTTACGACTTAAACACATTTTTTCGAATATAGGTCCACTCTTAGGTTTACCATAGAGGACGTACATTCGAAAATCTAATTAAGCTTGCTAATGCGCTGCGGCTACATGTTTGTTCCATTCTAACACACATTTACATTTATCAGATTTGTTAGTAATTCGACTACAACTAGATATAGAAGCCTGACTAACAATAGAAACTATGTTTTCATAGAACTTATCTATAACATTTCTGTGACTGACATCGTTACACATACTATCTGCACAGTAATGTAATTCACAAGGAAAATCTATATGTTTTAACTGACTATTACAAATTTCTAAATATTTATCAATTTCGTCCTCGCTACTTAGGCCCCATCTATTGCTATTTGATTGCTCATAAGTTATAGTATGTTTAGATCTAATTACCCCTAGATTACACTCAATGATTAGTGGATAATGATCGGACCAGTATACATCATATAAGATGCTAACATTTGTAACAGTTGGCCATGCAGCCTGACTAGTTAAACAGTGATCTAGCTACAACACTGATTTATATACATATATGCAATAAAATTAAAAGAATTTAAACTAAGGAAAAAAAAGTAATAAATAAAGAAAACCAAACATTTAGAATGTGCCAAATG